GCCCCTAGGAACATTCTCAGATGTTCTGGACTTCTTCTCTTTATACTGTGTTTCATTCCTCGATGCCAGAACATCTGCTCCTTCACTTGTCTTGAAAACCTTCCCCCCATCCCCAGTGCAGCCAGTTCTCACCGCGCAGGTCAGGAGCTCAGATCTTCCACCGCGGGTTAAGCTGCCAACAGGCCGTCCACCGTGGCCACAACAGTTTGGTTCAACACGCACCTGCTGTCTGGCAGGCAGCAGCGTGACAGCCACACTATGTGGACAGGTTAACGTGCTTCAGGAGACGTGCGAGTTTATAAAACAAAAAAAAGAGCAAGTATATATTTCATTAAGTCTCTCATTTTCAAAATAACCCTATGTGCAGCATTACTATATCTGTAGTATGAGTTCTGGGAATCTTGTCCTCCATCCTATCAAACAATAGTTTACTTCCTAATGGGAAATGATGCTTGACTTGTTTTCCTTTGTTTGTCCTGTCAGATGTTGGTTGCCAAGTTTCTGTCCAAATGTTCAAAAGATAAACTGTTTACAGGCATTAAACTGAAGGCAAGTCTGCCTAAAAGTGGGTGTCCGTCATGAGAGAAACAGCAAAGATTCTTTCTGTAATCAGAGAAGATGTCTTTGCATATACCCCCAAAAAAGCTAATAATAGGGGACAAGTACAAAAATAAAACAAAGCAAAGAATAATTAATATTAATTATCTTGCACATAAGAAAACTTTAGCAGCAAAAAAATAATAATATACCAAGTACAGTACTTGGACTCTGGATACATGAGTCTCCCTTTCTTCTCCAGCACAAACACCTGCACCACAGTATTTTCTCTGTCCCTCCAATACCAGAAGCATTTAGCAGCGTAATCTTGTGGAGAATCGCAAGACTCCTGGACAAACAAGATGTTCAAGACAACAGCATTTGGGGGTTTCAAGGAAAGAGGTACAAGGTGAGAAAGGCCAGAAGACATTGCTAACTTAAGGGAATGGTTCTGTATCAAATCTGAGCTGTTTTACAATACAACCTCAAATAATTAAACCAGCCAATTCTCTGAAAGAGTATTTAAACTCAACTGTTCAGTTAGTCTTCTCAGTACAAGGGGTTAGAGCAACTAGAAAGCAAAATACCACGTGATTATTTTCATTAGCAGACAAACTAGTCCTACAAAATACAGCTGTGCATTTTTCTCTGCAGAGAGTAATGCTTTTTCTTTTCCAATAGCAAACTCACAGTTCAAAACATATTATTAAGCTTTCACTAGTGTTATTTGGGTCCAAGAGCATAAAAATTTAAGTGCCAGCCAAGCTTTTACCTGATTATTATGGACTTGAAAAAAAATACAGTTGCTTTCTTGCATCTTTTGGTAAATACTAGACACAGAATAGGAAAATTTTCTTCCCAAATACGGAGCAGGCATTTCTTTATTCAGTACCAGTGATAAGAGTTGGTAAATATCACATGAAAAACCATCTTCTCCTTATACTTTGTTTACTATTATATATTTAATATAATTTTCTATTATTTATATCCCTATTTTCTGATTGTTGTCACACTCTTTACTACTATGTAACTATAGAAGAAGCATTTTTTTCTCCTGGTTGCACTTACAATAAATGCAACTCTCTCAATTTCTAAGCTGGATTCTTTGCCTATCTGTCTGATTCCCTGTCTTGTATGGTACAGCGGCTGCATCTCACTTTTGTCACACTCAAGGACGTGCAGGTCTCACCTCGTTATGGGGCCAGTGTATGCAAAAG